TGAGTGTACTGTGTTTTGCTATTAATTACTGATATACAACGATTGTTTTTCTTATCGTGGTAATAAAGTTTCGCCCCCAGTGGCACAGCAGTATGTCTGCGGACTTACAACGCTAGAATCCGGGTTTCGATACCCGTGGTGGGCAGAGCACAGATAGCCAATTGTGTTTAATTACAAACAATAAAGTTTCGGTTGTTTTTGGTGTAGAATAAAGGATTTGTTGTGACGTGAAATTTACTTCGAAAATGAAAAATTGAGTTGTTTAAGATGGTAGTTAATAAGGTAGTATCGTATAGCGGTTAGTTGTGGATATGCAGTCCAATGTTCGCATCCTGTTTCCGTCAGGATCTTAATTTTGGGACTATGAATATTTTATAAAGGTGATTGTCAAATCCATATTCTAGCAAACCATAATTAGCAGTGAGTACAGTATCGGGTCAAAATTGGGAGGGTTAACCCTGATATACCTTGAGTAGCATATTGTAACTATCTGAAAAACAAGCCTAAACTTGTAGGTTTAAGTCTTTCTTTTTGGCTATTAAAAACAACCTAAAAATAATCAAAACTATAAACTACGCTTATTATAGGGTAAGGTATTGTGCTTTCATCTCGTCTTGTGGTTCATGTGCTTAGTTTTTTCTTATGACGTCAAGCTGTAATTAAATATTAGGTAATAAGTTAGATGCAAGATTTCGAATTTACATATGGTCCAAAATAAATCTGTATTAAGTACTATATTATAATAGTCTTGTACCGATACTAAGTACGTTAAAGTTTACAGGTGTAATAGCTTTACAACGTTCCTACATAGCATAATATTGTTACGACAGCGGATGTCACGTGACGCTGGTAACACGATGAGATTCTAGAAGGATCGGGGAACCTCACGAATGTCTCGGCGTTTGCTAGACGCTCTCTTTTTTTAGTCTATAAGCCGGCAGATATATTGATAATGGATATAATCGAGTCAAGCCGTAAATAAAGTGTGTAAATCGCTGTGAGTTATAGCTAAGTTAAAGTGACTGTGGAAATTAAGTGTATTACAAAGTTTGTAACGAGAAAGAATAAACGTTTTAATTAAGAAAGGACTTGTATCGCTGAAGTTTCTCAGAAAGAATGTTTACGGGAAATGATCAAACATGTCTTAAATTGGTATA